GAAAAAAAAAAAAAAAAAAAAAAAAAAAATCCTATTATTTTTTAATGACATTAACTACCATGCACCACTTTGAAAAATTCCATGATATATTCTTCTAGATATTTGTCTGCTGTGTTGTTAAATCTGGTAGGGTTAGGAAATCTAGAATACAGCCCGTTTAACTGCATAGCCCACAAATCCGCGCAAATCCAAATGTTACAAGAATTCTGGTAGTGAGAGGAGAATACTCCTGATCTAATCTGTTTAATTTCTTTAAACTAAAAATGCTTTAGGCAGACATGTGTCTATCTGTTTTGTGGGTCTAAAAATTTCTACTGGCAAAGCATCAGTCAGTAGGTTTTGGAGGAGTTTTTCCCCGTGATTAGAACCATACAATTCCAATACTTTTGCTCAAGAATGCATTTCCCCTTATCTAATGTCAATTAATAGCCTTCAGCCTGTGGAACTTCCAACACCTGTGCAGTAGATTGTGCCTGAGATATAAATACTGTTCTTTGCGAATTGCCAAGGTGAATCAGGTGGTTTTAGTTCAAATTCTAATTTGGAAACTGGCAAAATTTCAAGTCATTGCTTCTTTTAAAGATCTCGTAGTAGTTAAAAGCTGGGGGAAGAGAGGTTGTATTCCGTTGCTGTAAGTTGTTCATGTATTTTGTTCATGCGCCAGCAGAGCACCCATTATAAAGCAGCAAATCTGCCATGTCCCCCCTTAGGGCTTGGGTAATTAGCATAGCGCCTTTGGTTGTCTTTAGACACAAATATGAGCAACAGGGCACTTTGGGAGCCTATGCTGACAGAGGAAATAACTAGTTTGTTAAATCATCACCTTTAGCAGCAGGAAGGAACAGAGGCAGCTCTCCACTTTCCAGTGGACTTTCCCTTCCCATCTTTATTCTTCCTTCTGGCATCTTGGAAACTATTAGGTCATATTTATCATGGCATTTTAAAAATCCTTGAAGCTGATTTCTTTGGATGTCTTGGCCTGAAACACAGTGGTTCTCTGGATGCCTGATTTTTGAACGAAGACATCACAATCTAGTCATGTGTTGACAATGTGTACGAAGTCCCAAGTGCACTTAACTACACATTATAAATAAATGCATGTCCTGTAGTCTTGCTACATGTTCTATGCTTCTTATGGCAATTACAATCGATATCTGGGCTTCTAGGAACTCAGAGTGTTGTGTCTGTGTGCTCTTATTTTTTACATGATCACTTACAGTTCTTTGGTTACCATTGCTCTGCTTTTATTCATTTTTGTTCTGAAGTTCATTTTATTTCCATATGCTTTTTTCAGTTCTCAGGATGGCTTACGTGATTCTCCCCTCAGCTCCATCTCCAGCAGTGACTATGAGAGTGTTTCTGTCACTACATGTAGTCTCTCCAGCATATACGCTCTGAGGTAATATTCATCTCACTTCATTGGTGTATTGGGTGATGGTCAATAGAAATTTTTCATTGAATAAGAATCAAGTGACAGCAACACTTCCGATTATCCTTTCTTGGACTGTTGATGCACGTTTCATTTTACAGGTCGTTTTCTGCTTGTGCAGTCATTGTGAGAGCCTACCTCTTCATGGGTTATTTTCATCAGATTTATGTCAGCAAACACTTGGGACTGGCATGGATCTTGTTTGTCAATATGTTCATTCAGTGTTCCTAAACAGACACTTTTAGCTCTTAATGTAACTAACTCTTAATATGCATTTTAAAGAGAGGTATATTCACTTGATACAGTGAAACTTGACTACAGAAGGAGAATATCACTAAAAAATAGTGAATGTCTATACATTACTATGTCTTAGCTTTCCAGATGGCATAGTTATTCCATCTGTTTTTTGCTGCCTTTTGAATTAATAGTAAAATCAGAGGAATCTCGGAACTAAGAATAATATCTTTATATTTTGTTGTTATTTATTGGACCAAAAATATATTGGGGCTGCTGTCTTGTGTTCTCATCATTTAAGCTTATATGAGGGAGGCAAATGTTTGCAATTTAACTTAGCCAAGATAAATTAGTAAATACTGTAAGGGAATACATTTTAAGGCAAAAAATATTGATTAGAGCAGAACAGAATCTTCTCTTGCTTTTTTTCGTGTGTACACAGATATGTCATTGCTGTATTATATTGCATTTGGACAGATGTTGAAGTTTTATTCAAGATGTCTCCAGAATTATGATAATTGTACTCTTCTCATGCTTCCTTCTGTTTCTTGTCACCTCTGTGTCTTCCAACTGT